CCCGCATGCCCACTGGTGGGGAAGCCCTCCCGCATGCCCACTGGTGGGAAAGCCTGCCAGCGTACCCACTGGTGGGGAAGCCTGCCCCCATGCCCCTGCCCTTGGGGGGGTATTTTCCCCCCAAACCCAGACGTTACTCAGAACCAAAACTAGATAGGTAGGTGATCAGACTGAGTAACAGTATTTTTGAGCTTTTAAAATCAAGAACTTTTCACTTGGGAGTAGTTTCCTTGCCGCCAAAGCATTGGCCTCCAAGTATCTCATTTTGGGGGCAAGTATAAGCGCTTACTTTTATTGCAAGAAGGAAATGTTTTCATATCTTAATTCCATCTTACTGAGCTCTGGCTTTTCTCTGGCATTCTTAAATATTTAGATTCTAAAGAAACCTCAAAGTAGCTACTTCCTGGGGGAGAAAAAACAAAAACAAACCTTTTGCACCTGGACATTCTAAACATTCCTTCTTCTTTTTTTTTTTTTTTTAAAGGGTGAAATACCGAGTTTACCTTGTCCAATTGCCAAGGTGACCAGGACCCCTACATGTCAACACCTGTGGGTGACATCACAGCGTGAGCCACGCCGTACAGCGGGTGATTCCAAGCTGCGAGCGCGTGGCGTGGCGTGGCGTGGCTTGGTGCAGCCAGCCAGCAGAACAGGATGCAGGGCCGGACGGCTGCCTGTCGGCATGGCCCGCACAGATCCACACACACTTGGAGCTCTTGTTTTATAGAATTAGCTCTCCTCATTCCTTTTAACTCTCAGAACTGCCTCATTATATGTTCCAGCCAAGGAGACGGAGACAATCAGTCCTGGCAACACTCACTGAATCCGTTTCGGTCCCCCGAGGAGCACTATTCCTGCAGCACTCTGAAGATGACAGATTTGGTCCTGCTTTTTAAAATATCTCCAGTGAAAGAGTTTTCACCCATCACTTAATTCAAAACCGAATTCTTAAGCTCTGGGCTTTCTGCTGCTATTGTTTTTTTTTAAAAAAAAACACTGATACCATCATCTTAAGACGGTGGTAAGAAGATATAGTACATGCCTCACGGATATCTTTTTAAAATGATAAAAGAGGATGACTCTTTTATGATTTTAAAATGAGGATGACTCCTTGACAGGAGTGGAAGAAAGTCAAATTACTTACTAGCCTGTCAAGCTGTGCTACAAAGGTGCTTCCGGTGCTTTCCAATGAGCAAGTAAGGAAGGGGAGATTTTCCTTGGGACTTGGCTTTCCTAATCCAAGCTAGAAAATGGTAAGTTAAGCTTTTGTAACATCTCCTTTCAGAGAAGCCCCAAGAGCAGTCATTTCATCCATCTTCATGAGGCTACTGTAAGGTGGACAGAAATGCATGCTTCATTTTTTTACTTTAGAAATGAATCCATTAAATAACGGGGGATGGGGAGATGGGGAGATAGCTCAGTGACTTAAATGCCTGCCTGGCAAGTGCAAGGTGCTAGTGTGATCCCTGGTAGGAAAAAAAAATCATAAGGTCCCTAATGCAGATATTTACCTTATAAGCAAACCTGTTAAAAAGTATTGATGTCTTTTTTCTTGAAAGCAAATGGTAATCAATTATTTGCCCAATCTTGCATAACTGTATGTTAGTCTGAACAACAGATTTGACAATAAAAATAGGTAATAAAAGGGCCAGTGAGATAGCTCAGCAAACTAAGCACCTGCGTTGGCAAGTGCAAGGACAAGGGTTCCATCCCAGGTGAGGATCTCTATGAGTTCGAGCTATGTAGTGAGGCCCTGTACCAAATACATAAAAAATAATAGAACCATTTTAATAGGATATTTTTGTTTCAAAAATCTATAACACATATTGTTGTATATTACCTCCTTTATGTTTCTACTATTTTTTTCACTTTGATTTTGCTCTTCAAAATAAAATTAAATTGAATTTTAAAAAGTATTGATGTCTTTTATGGTGATTCAGCCATTTAAACTCTCCAAAATAAATTAACATTAATGAATAAATGTTTCTGCTTTTATATTAATTTCTTTTGATTTAAAAAAGTATACAACAAGTCCGCATCTTGTACAGCAATTTACCACTAGGAAGAATGTACGCAATGTGTTAATTATTGAAACTGTCCTACCAATTTGGTTTGAAACTGTCTCATTGCTATTTGTTTCTCAGTAAAATTATGGAGAAAAATTTAAAAATTTAAAAAATAAAAATAAAAAAGTATACAGAAGAAAACAAGAGGTAGAACATAAATTGCAAACGATGCCCAGTACACAAAGTGGGAAGCAGGAAGTTTATCTACGAAATAAATATGACAATGATCATTAAATCTGCAAGCCATTTTATTTATCCAAAATACCAGTTAAAATCCGCTTCCTCTTGCAAAAGAGTCGACCGCTGAAGGGCCATAGGAGCGGCGGCGCGGGACCCGGCGGGCACAGCCGAGGGCCGCCGCAGCGCTGAGCAGCCGGGACGCGAGCCGGCCGACGCCGCCGAGCAGCGCCGAGCACAGCCACGGGCCGGAGGAGCACGGGCAGCGAAACGCTCGCGGTGGGTGCATTCTTCATGTAAAAAAATGCACCTACAGAAGGACTCGGTCTCGGCCTAAGTCCAAGCAGCGCGCTCAGGAAAGCAGACCGGAAGGCCGAAGCGCAGCCCGCGCCCTCCGGGCCCAGCAGGCGGACGCGCGGAGGGCCGAGGCGCTGTTCCCCTCTCGGCTGCAGCCTCCGAGGAGCTCGGGGAGGCGGCGGGCCCCTCGCCATCAGAGCGCGAAGAGCTTGTTGAAGCAGGGCTGGCAGTAGGTCTTGTCGTTCTGCTCCCGGAAGACGCCCTTGGCCAGCTGCGCCAGGCAGAAGGCGCACACGAAGTGCTCGGGGTGGAACTTGCGGCCCATGGCGCTGATGCAGCGGCCGGTGATGGGCTGCCCGCACCCTCCGCACAGCGTCCCGCGGCGCTGGTGGTAGTGCAGCTCGCAGAACGGACGGCCGTCCAGCTCGAAGAAGGAGCCGCTGGAGAAGCTGCTGAAGCAGTCCTGAGAGCGGAGAGAGGACGGGGAGGCGTGGGGCGGGAGCGACTGCCAGCGAGGCCGGCCGGCGGCGCCTCGCCCTCCCAGCCGGACCGCCAGCTGCGGGAATGCCCTCAAGCCCGGACGCACAGAGGCCGACCCGCGTGCAGGACGCCCGGGACGGCCTTCTGAAGAGGGGCGTCCGTGTGCAGTTGGCTAAGGCTGCCCCAAGTCTGCGCATGGATGCGCGCAGAGGCGGCTACGGTGTCTCTCTGCCCCCTCAACGGGCTTCAAGGGACACAAAGGGGCCTGGCCAGGGTGCTGACCCGTGGTCTCTAAAGTAATAGGGCAGGGCGGTGATGCCCCACCCACAGCTCACAGTCACTATGCGTGACTAGGCCGAGTGACAGCACCGTGGCTGAGACTGAGGCTCGCAAAAGGGCCCAGGACGCCTCAGTGCAGGAAGGCCAGACGGCAGAGCCCACGCCCCTGCGCCACCACCACAGCGAGCTTCAGCCGCGCTGGGCAGCTCACCCTTTCTTCACATCTCTCTGCATTCTGCAGAGGCGCTCTTGTGCCTCCCACCCAGCCCAGCTCACAGCACTGGCCACCACCCAGCCAGCTCACAGCACTGGCCACCCGCCTCTTCACGGATTAATAAATCCCAGGATGGGCCCTGGGTCAGCGCCTTTGGTCCGCACTGTACTGACGGGTCTTAGGACCACCCTGGCTCCGTGCCACCACAGATACGTGTTGGTCTCTTTATTCGTGCCGTGGGTTGCCCTGGGTGTGGTAGACTGGAATTACTTAATGGAATTCCATTACCTTTTCCCTGGGATTATAAATGTAAGCGCCTCCGGACCACAGCAAGGCAGGCAGAGGGAATCTCTTACCAACCCACCCACTTCCAACTGGAGGAGAACATGCCTAGGAAGGAGGCTGTGTCTCACTTCTCCAGACGTTCCTCCCCCAGGGGCCCCTCTGACCCTGGTTCCAAAGCCAACTGAGTGGACAGACCCCACACACGAAGCACTCCGGGTGCCACACGGCGTCCATGGCCGACAGGTAGTTCTCCAGCACAGGCTGGTTGCAGCCACTGCATTTCGGGGAAAACATGGCTAGGAAGTCCTTCCGGCAGTACGGCTTCTTATCCTTCTCGTGGAAGCCTGGAGGAAGAGAAGGTTTCAGGGCGAGTCCTCAACACCTCAGGTGGCACAGAAGTGGTGGCATTTAACCTCCACCAATGCCACACCAAGGGGCTGCTGGGGAAGAAACTGTGGGTGGTGCAGGGGTGCCGGCGAAGGGCCTTGGGCTGTGCCTGGGCGGCAGTGAGCCCTGCGCAAGCGCTGAGGGCGACTGCTCGCCAGTGCCTCAGGCCAGCTGCCCTGGCTGCACAGCAGTGCCCTAGTGCGACACAGCGGTCTCTCCTCCCATCTTCAGTCAGTTCCATCTCATCAGAGCAGCCCTGTGGTCCCTCTTCTCTTCTGTACTGTTCTTACAGCACTGTCCTCAGAGCATTTTCCACTATCTGAAACCATCCTCTGGGCTCTCTTCCCCTGTGAAATACGAGCCCCGGGTACTATTGGTCTTGGGACCATTGTACCCCCGTATCTAAGATGGCATCTGGGGTAAAACTGTCTAACATTTTTAAATGAAGTACTACTAAATAATAATTTCCAAATGGATGCAAGATCTAAGTGTAATTATTTAGACCACAAACATACTTGAATTAAAAGTGGAATGTTTTATTATTCTGGAAAGGGGAAACTGTCGTACAAGTGTCAAATTTTAAAAGTAAGTTAAGGAGTAATAAATTTAGTTATCCGAAAAATATATATGATTACTTAACATGTTGAAAATGACATACACGAAGTCAAAGACAAAGGACAAGCTAAAGGGTATGCTTACTAACAATATCCTGGAAAAGGTGCTAACACAAAGAGGTCCTAAATACTTGTTTGATTTCTATTGTATAAAACTAAAAAGCAAAACAATTGAAATGGAATAAAACTCCCCCAAAATTGAATACAAATGAAATGAATTAGCTGAATATCAACTAGATGACAGGACCAAAGACAGGCAATGATGTGTTTCCGTGATGCTAGAACCCAGCGTCTTGGCCGCACAGTCCTCAGGGATGTACCCTAAATGCCAAAGAAGCTGCCGCGAAACACTGAGCTGTCTTCACAGGCACTGGACTCTAGCTAAGAGAGTAGAGGTGTAGGCTTTTACCGCGCTAGGGCATAGATATGCCAGTGCGGGCGACCCCAGGGGCCTATCTCAGTACACACATCAAAGCATGCTGGTGGATGCTAGCTATACTAACCA